TTTGTTTAGCTGATGTTTTTTTAGTGTTTCGCTGTTTGATTGGCTATGTTTATTAATTCTATTCTCAATGATGGTGGAGTTGTTGTAAAAGTTGTGGATTTAAGTTGTGTTGTTATTGTTAATGTTGTTAGTTTGGTTGCTGATGTTACTGATATTGATGTCGTTGTTGATGTTGTTGTGGTTGTAGTCGTCTTTGCATTTGATGTGGTTGTTGCAGTTGATGCGGTTGTTGTAGTTGATTTGGTTGTTGTAGTTGATGTGGTTGTTGTAGTTGATGTGGTTGTTGCAGTTGATGTGGTCGTTGTGGTTGATGTGGTCGTGGTGGTTGATATGGTTGTTGCAGTTGATGTGGTTGTTGCAGTTGATGTGGTCGTTGTGGTTGATGTCGCCGTTGTATTTGTTGAAGTTGCTGTAGTTGACGTCGTTGTAGTTATAGCGCTACTTGATCTGCCTAATTTCCTCACGTAAGTTGCCTTAATTTCTTTTCGTTTAATTATAGGATGCGATGTTTTCAAGTTTTCCAGTTCAGTTGTTGAAGGTGTGGCTGGTGTTGTTGTTGTTGTTGTTGATGATGAATTATTTTGCAATGTTGTTGCTGCGTTGGAAGTTGTAGCTGATGATAGCGAGGAATGTTTGGATGATTGTATTTGAGTTGTCGTTGTCAACTGAGATATCGCTGCTGACTTTGGTGATAAAAATGTTGAAACACGAAGTAGTGGTGATGACGACCTGGACTTGTTAAATGACGTCATAGTGATGTTGTAATCGTTGGCGGAACGTGATAGAGAGTCAGTGCTCGATGTTGATGTTGGCACATCTCTATTTTTTTGTTCGGCCTTTGATGTATTGCGCATGTCAGGGCTGAGTTGCCTTGTTGAATTTGTTGTCGAATGTGACGAAGGCAGGGATGGCGTGTTAGATGGTGAGTAATAAAATTGGGGATGGTCTAGTTTGGAGGCAATTAATTTTGTGGCCAAACTGAGCGATGTTGTTGATGATGGCGTTGCCGTTCTGGGAAATTTTGCTTCATTGTTTGCAGAGGTAAGTGATGGAGATGGGGTTCTCATTAAGGTTTGCGAAAAGGCGTCAATTGTGTGAGTTGTTTGAATTGTGTGAGTTGTGTGTGTTGTATTTGTTGTGTGAGTTGATGGGGGTTGCGGTGATAATGATGATGGTGATGATGGTAATAACAATAAGAATGGTGATGAGTTTGATGATGGTGATAATGGAGATAAGAAAGAAGATGATGCCGGTGACGACATTCTTGAAGCTGCATTCAACGAGGTGGTTGTAATTTTAATTGGAGCTGATAATTTCCCCGTTAACGTTGGTGATGAAAAAGTTTGCGCGTGAACGTAATTTTTCCGAAAGGTTATTGATGACAATGATGATGACGACGACGACGATGATGATAACTGTGGAATAGTTGTCAAAAGATTAAATGGGGAAGTAAGGTTGGAAGATGCATGGAGAATTTGGGTGGTGCCAACAGAATGTTTTAGTAGGCCTTTACGTGCAATTCTGCCTGCCTCTACTGGCGCGTGACGTTCGGCTTGAGCGAGGATACGCAACATTTCATCAATTCTGTGCCGAATTTTTTCGTGGTTGTAGTAGTTCTCCAACTTCATTTCGCCCAACATTACTAAAAATTGTTGATTCAAATTGAAGTTGATTTGTTGTTCTGCTAATAATTCATCTCGATAATTGAACGCCACGTCTTGTTTTTTGTCGTACTCGTTGAGAACTTCCTTGATGCAAACCTTCAACTTCGCAAAAGAGTTTCTCACTCCTTCCATATTCTTAGGACTGTCAATTCTCTTTTCCGCGATTGTTTCCATGTTCTACTTGGAAATATTTCGCGAAAAAATTTTTCTTTCAAATCTAAAATTTCAAAAATATCAAATATTCGTAATTTCTTAACAATTTAATTTTAAAAGTTTAAAAAAAAATTAACAAAACCTAAAAAAAATTTGGTGATTTTTGGTCTAGTTTGAATGTTTGTGCTAATCATCACAAATAACATATTTTAATCATAATTACATTTGATGTTAATCTTGTTCACTATGTTCAACCTCTTTATTATATTCATCTTGTACTTTATGTATATCTTGTTCATTGTGTTCATCTTGTCCATTATGTTTTTAAGACTAGATTTATAATTCTATATTGTTACCTTCATGTTTCTTTTTTAGTAACAATCTCCTAACAACCCGTTCCTATGATTTACCTTAATGTTGTTAAGAATCAAAGAAAAAAATCTAACTAGAATTTTTATTTAGAATAACATTTGTCAAATTTGAAGGAAAAAAAAATTATGAATTGTTACTAAAATTTTTTTTTAAATTTGTCTTTTAAAAATCATTGAGACATTACAGCCAGGACAGATGTCAGCAGTGAAATGTTACGTGAGCACGTTACTATGGCGAGTGCTGACAACAACAACCTTTTGCGATCCTACATCTTTTACCAGATTAAATGTAACGCGAGATGTTGTTGTTGTTGTTGTTTTTGCTGTTGTTGTTGTTATTGTGGAATCGTAAGATGTAGGATAGTAACAGGTTGTTGTTGACGTTATTTTAAATTGATAACAGATAACACATAGACACAACACGAGAAATAAAACATTCCTTTTATAAAGATATCAACATAGTATTAAAACAACAACCTTACAACAACATTACAACAACATCTTCACAGTAACGTTAATACCGTGACTTCAATACAATGACAATAACCTCTACATTAGTGGGATTCACGTCAATACAAGCGTACCTTAGTCAATGAAACATCCAACCATAGCGTTGCAGCACTAGAAAGAAGATTAACACAATACTCGGAAATTAATAATTATTTCATAAAATTAACAAATTATTTTAGTAGATTTGAAATAATTTTTCTCATAAAAATTGTTTTAACTTCAATTTGTCGTAATTCACACGTGCCAGCCTTTGTATTTTCAAGCTGAAATTTTTTGTACCAGCTCAATACGCTAACAAATTAACGGCAAAATCTTCAACAAGACTTTAAAAAACATCAACAAAACATCAGCAAAACATCAGCAAAACAAAGAATAAAAACGCCAACAAACCTCAAACAATGTCCCACATTCACTACGTCAAAATCAAAGTATTTTATAACCGTTAAAGGTAGAAAAGAAAAAAAAAATGTAAACAAACTTATTTGAACTTTCTCTCATTCTCGTTTCATTCTTTTATTGTCCAATTCTGCTAACATGTTGATACATGACAATTATTGAGGCTACAGCTACAAGTACTCTTATGTTTATGTGTTTCTTGCTAGTGCGTTCACGCGAGTAAATGTTTGTGTGTGTGTAAGCTGTTTTGTGTGAATGTGTATGTGTGTGTGTGTGTGTGTGTAAGCTGTGTTAGTGCGTGTGTGTGTGTGTAAGCTGTGCATGTGTGTGTGTGTGGTGTGTGTGTGTGCGCGCGCGTATATTTGTGAGTGTGTGTGACTCTGATTTTGTTCTGACTTTATTTGCACTTTTGTACTTTCTATCATTTACAAGTTGTGTTACACACGTGTCGTACTTTATTATAAATCAAAATATTTTTTTTTGGTAAAATGGCATTTTGTATAATTGCGCTTATAAAAATTATTAACGCTATGAACTCTAAGCCATTTATACAAAAAAAAATTTAAAAAGTGAAAAAGTTAAACATTCGTACCGAGGAAATGTGAAAATATTCGCTGGAAAATTGCGAAAGATGAGAAGAGCGCTAAAAAACAAATGATAACTGTTGTAAATGCTTTAAAGAAGAACACGCTTCACTAACATTTGATAATATATTTTTTACTCAGCAAAATAAGAAACAAAAGCAAGCAAGCAAACAAACAAACGAACGAACGAACGATCGAACAAGCGTTCAACATACGTCAGATGAATATTAGATTTTCTCCAATACCGTTTCAAATGTAATTCGATTTTTCAAGCCAAATAATCTGGAGCAAAAAAAGATTTAGAATTTCAATGAGGGAATGAAATGGATAAATGTCAACCGACAATAAATTATTTGGTGGTATTGTTAATTTTTTGTTTGATGTGAATAGGCAAAATTTTATTAAAAAAATTATGTTTAAGCTCAAATAATTATTTGATTAGTTTATTATTACAAATATACATACACACTTGGTATTATACATACAAACAAAAATACATGCATATACACATGCATAAATACATATACACACACAAGTCCGCTTAGGGCATACACACAAACATACATACATTCAAACATACATACACACAAACATACATACATGCAAACGTGTATTTATTTATGATGTTCTCAATTTTTAACATTTATTATTAGCATTTTATATGGCGTGTGCTTATTTGAAAGCGCTATAAATTCTCTTATGTACTTGCGTATTTATATAAAATTTCATGGCTGCTGCTGTTGCTGTTGGTGATGATGTTGGTGATGATGATGAAGATGATGACGAAGATGGTGACGATGATGATCGTTGTTTCATGTATGTTGATAATTGTTGATGATGTCTTTGTTGTTGTTTCGATGTTTTTCTAAAAAATGCATCAGTTGATGTTTATATTGAGGACGATGAATGTTGTGGTGATGATGATGATGGTGATGTTTCTATTGATGATGATAATGATGATAATGTTTCTACTCATGATGATGATGATGATGAGGATGCTTTTAATGATGATGTTGTTATTGACAGTAATAACGTGATGAAGATGACGTACAATAAGCTATGACGTTGATATTGAAAATGACAATTTTTACTACCTCTGATTACAGAAATGATATCATGATGCTTATGATTGTAGTTGATTTGACGTTGTTAGTGATAATGCTATTATATCATATCATAAATTAAAATATAGAAAATTATGTACAAAATAATGATATGTGATACGGTAAATGATATTGTGATGATGATAGCTATCGTCAAGATTGCAAAATCATAAACTATGAGAATCATGTATGTGATAACTTTTTTGATAGTGACTACTTATTTAAATTGGGCTTATCAAACAAATTAAATAAATCATAAATATTTATTCTAAGTTTATCACTTTTGTTTGCTAATGAATTCAAATTTTAAAGTAATTTTAACAATGTGGTGCTCAAGTAATAGTGAAGTGACTCAAGTTAAATTACTAAGCTAGAAACCATTGGTCAAACTTTTTATAAATTTATTAAGAAATTTAATTACACTTTGATGTTATTAACTTATTTTTATTAATTGTATTATACGTTAATTTTTTTAAAACACATAGGTATGCTGGTTACACACAGGTTTGTAGGTTTGTATGTGTATATGTGTTTGTGTAAATATATGTGTGTGTATGTTTGTTTATGTATGCGTGTGTGTGTGAGTGAGTGCGTAAAAGTTTAGTTGTGTGTGTGTGTATGTGTGCGTGCGTGTGTGTGTGGTGTGTGTTTGTGGTGTGTGTGTTTGTGGTGTGTATGTGTGTGTGTGTATGAGCGCGCAAATAACTAGTTGAAGATGCCTCTTAAAAATGAAAATAACTTTTTCCCTCGGAAAACATCTACATTTTAAAATGTGATGAATTGTCACAGCTATTGAGGTTGATCAGTTTTAATGAATACTCCAAACTGTGACGTGTTCCTGATAGATGGATGGATGAATGGTTGAGTGAACGAATGGATGGATGGATGAATAAATGAATGAGTAGCTGGATGGAAGAATGAATCGATGAGTGAATGACTGAATAGCTTAATAAATAAATGAATGTTGAATGGAGTTAGGTATGTTAATAAGATTGATGATTCGGTAGAATGGAAGAAGTTAAATTCGAAAAATGAAAACCCAAATGAAAACCATGATGGTTGTTGAATGAATGGTGAAATGAAATGATGTGTAAAATGGTTGGTCATTTAACAAATTGGTGGTTGATTGAGAAAATAATCGGTGGATGAGAAAATAAGGTGAGGTCTATTATGAACAGAAAAAACAAGACAGGTAAACTGATGGACGGATGGATGGATGGATAAATGAATGGATGGATGGATGAATGGATGGATGGATGGATGGTTGGACGATGGATAAATGGATACATAGATAAATAGACTGAAAAATAAATGGGTAGATGAGTGACATAAAAAAAATGATAAATTGACTGGAAAAAGATGTTCGAGAAGTAGAGGTCTTTTCACACACATTCACATACGTATGAGAATTTAATAAAAATATAAGTGTGTTTGATTGATGGTAATGTTGTTTTTCCGGTTAATAGTACGTGTTTAGTTTAAAAAAATGTTCATTTGAATAATTTAACAATAAAATAATGTCTAAAAACAGAAAAAACAATTTTTTTTAAATCATTGAACGGTCTCCGATATGATCAATGTTTTAAAATAACACATTAAAATTTGCTTTTAAATGAATAAAAAATACGGTAAACAAATCAAAAATTAATAAAATAAAAATAACAGATGAATGAATGAATGATTGAGTGAATGAATGAACGAATGAATGAATAAAAAAACGACGTGATAAATGGCCAGAGCATAAACGGAAGGGTTTCATCCATTTTTAGTTAAATTTCTTGGCTCACTTTTACTACTTCTTCAAAGTTTTATCCAAGTACGCATTTAAATACATTGAATATATTTTGTGTTCATTAGTTCAATTTTATTTCGATGTATAATCGGTATTATATAGTATTATACCGTGATGTTGACGATGTATTTAACATACAATCACTCTCTTTCTCTCTCTTTTTCTATTTCTGTCTCCCTCTCTTATTCGTTCTCTCTCTCTCCATTTTTTTTTCTTTCTCCTAGTTCTCTTTTGCTGTTTAGTTAACTTTTCTAAATCTTCGTAT